CCGGAACTATCAAAACACTGATCCGAGTCCGTTTGCTCAAAATGTTAACCAAAGTCAACTCAATTGAGTTCTAAAGCTCTATTTCATATTTTAATCCATTTTTCATACAAAAACTTTTCGAAACATTTTACGGACTTCGCACATAAGTAGAGGAATGATAAATAGTGCTTTTAGAGGTATTAGAACACAGAATTAATTATTAAATTTAAATATGAGACTTTGGGTCATTACATTCTCCACCTCTAAAACAAACGTCCGTCCTCGAACGGAGTTAGAAAAAGCACCTGAGCTGGAGAAAAGGTGTGGATATTTACTCCGTATGTCCGACTCGGACTCCCAGGTAGATGCCTCTACCGGCTGACCTCTCCATTGCACCCGAACTGAAGGATAACTCTTAGACCTCAACTGCCGGACCTACCGGGCTAGAATAGCCACCGGCTCCTCCTTGTAAATCAAATCTTTGTCCAATTGGACTGAGCTGAAATCTAACACATGGGATAGATCACCATGATATTTCTGGAGCATAGACATATGGAACACCAGATGAACCACTGATAAACTAGGTGGTAATGCAAGCCTATAGGCTACTTCACCCACCCTTTCAAGAATTTCAAAGGGTCTGATATGCCTAGGGCTCAACTTGCCCTTCTTCCCGAACCTCATTACACCTTTCATAGGTGAAACCCGGAGCAATATTCTTTCTCCAACCATGAATGCAATATCACAAACTTCACGGTCGGCATAACANGACTGTCCGTCTGTCTGTGGATGAAATGATGTACTCAACTCAACCCGCGTGCCTAACTCACGCTTTATAGCCCTCCAGAAGTGTGAGGTAAACGGCGTGCCTCGATCTGAAATAATAGACATGGGCACACCGTGAAGGCGGACAATCTCACGAATGTAAATTTCAGCTAACCTCTCTGAAGAATAGGTAACTGTTATATGGATGAAATGTGCTGACTTGGTCAACCTGTCCACAATGACCCAAACTGCGTCAAATTTTTTCTGAGTCCGTGGAAGTCCAACAACAAAATCCATAGTGATACGCTCTTATTTCCACTCAGAAATTTCTAAATTCTGAAGCAAACCACTAGGTCTCTGATGCTCGTACTTAACTTGCTGACAATTCAGACACCGTGCTACATATGCAACTATATCCTTTTTTATTCTCCTCCACCAATAATTTTTCCACAAATCTTGATACATTTTGGCGGTACCTTGATGAATAGAATACCTAGAACCGTGTGCCTCTTCAAGAATTAATTCACGAAGCCCGTCAACATTAGGTACACAAATACGACCCTGCATTCTCAGAACTCCATCTTTCCCTACAATAACATGTTTGGCATCACTGTGCCGCACTGTTTCCTTAAGGACAAGTAAATGAGGATCATCATATTGCCGCTCTCTGATGCGCTCATATAAAGAAGACCGAGCGACCGTGCAAGCTAGAACCCGACTGGGTTCTGAAACATCTAACCTCACGAACTGATTAGCCAAAGTCTGAACATCTGTAGCTAATGGCTTCTTACCAACCGAAATATGCGCAAGACTACCCATACTCACACCCTTTCTACTCAAAGCATCGTCCACTACATTGACCTTTTCGGGGTGATACAAAATGATGATATCGTAGTCTTTCAACAATTCCAACCATCTTCTCTGCCTCAAATTAAGATCTTTTTGTTTGAACAGATACTGAAGGCTACGATGATCAGTAAATACCTCACACGAGACACCGTAGAGATAATGCCTCCAAATCTTCAGCGCATGAATAATAGCTGCCAATTCTAAGTCATGAACAGGATAATTCTTCTCGTGAACTTTCAATTGCCGCGACGTATATGCAATCACCCTGCCATCTTGCATTAATACTACACCAAGCCCAATGTGAGATGTGTCACAATATACTGTATACGATCCTGAACCTGTGGGTAATACCAACACTGGCGCCGTAGTCAAAGCGGTCTTGAGCTTTTGAAAGCTAGACTCACACTCGTCTGACCATCTGAATGGAACACCTTTCTGGGTCAATCTAGTCAATGGGCTTGCTATAGATGAAAACTCTTCCACGAACCGACGATAATAAACTGCTAAACCCAGAAAATTCTGGATCTAAGTAACTGAAGTAGGTCTAGGCCAATTTTGAACAGCCTCAATCTTCTTAGGATCCACCTTTATGCCTTTTGTCAATATAATATGCCCCAAAAAGGCAATCAAGATATCATCAATGAATACAACCACAAAAGAATCCAAATAGGGCTTGAACACCCGATTCATCATATCCATAAATGCTGCTGGGTAGAGAAGCTATTTCCAATAAACTCTCAGCTCCTTCCCTCCAAGAACTTCCCACCTTGCTCTTGGGGTGACTCGAACTCACAACCTCTTGGTTGAAAGTGGAGGATGCTTACCACTAGAGCAACTCACTCTTGTAAGTTGCTTAGCCAATAGTTCCTTATACCAAAAGCAGAGACAATATGTGGTTAGCCAGTATGATTTAAGGTGTGTGAATTTTTTTCCAAATTATATTGGCATTGATCATAGTTCTCTAATTTCATCAATTGCAGGTTACAAACAAGCATTGTTGGAAAGCAAATGTAAAATCATATCATTTATTTTATTAAGAAGATCATTTTTCATAGTTCAAATAGTACTGCAACTTATAGAAGATGAACAAGAAAGGAATGCATAAATGTCACAATTAGTTATTTTAAATATAAAGATTAAAAGATTCTGTTTCATTAGTAAAAGGGTTGATAAAATTAGGCGACTTTCAATTTTGTTATTGTTAATAGTTCTTTCTCTCCATTCCAATTCTCATTAAACGCTACCCGGATCTTTTTTTTGCCAGCATGTATAAGAAATGTTTTCCCAGGTGATTCCAACTATCAAAGTATAAGACGAACTCCTTACTAAGAAAAATTGCACGATACCCTATGTATCATTTATTTTTTTAACTTTTTGGTTCTTGTAGTATCTCTCTTTTCTTTGAGATGCTGCAGCTTTTTCCTACTTTGGCCTTAACACTGTATTTTTCCTTTCTAATTTTCTACAAATACTTACTTGGTGGTAATATATTGTACAACACGCTACACTTCTCTATTTACAGTGAACTCATTTTAATGAAATATTTGCTTGGCTATATCATGTAATTGACAGGCTCTAATATATTCGTCAGAGTTTAAAAAATAAAAAAAAGGGGGGGGG